CATTCCTCATCATACTCACATCCCTATCAGACAAGGGATGTGAACCCTTCCCCTGTTGCATCCCTCCCCATACGGTGTACAGACCTCTGCCAGCAGAGTAAATAACACAAGTAATAGGTTGTCATCTTCTATTTGAATCAGCATCAGGGAGGGACAGAACATTTGCCAGTGAGTTTCATTAACACTTGCTGACATCAGAAGAATGGGGAAAGTCAGATGTCTTTGGTTCAGTCAGGATCAGAGGAGAACACATTGAAATAAGTACAGACTTTTCCACCTGTTCCCTAAGTGGCTTAGTCCTTTTTAACATTTTCAACTTATTCCTCTTTCTATCTATTTATCTTGCCTCACATCTAGCTCTCACAGTACTCACCTGGCCCTTCTGAGCTGAAAATCCCCTGCAATATCTGGATAAAGCCCTGCACATCCTGATCTGACCTCATAGCTGATCTTGCTATGAGAGGAGGTGGTGGGACTAGAGACCTCTTGATCCTTCCCAACTTGGAATACCATGTGGTCTTATGAGGACATTGTGCTTTACCCCAGAATATGAATAGTCTGCATTCCAAGAGGTGATTTTATTCATCAGTCTGTGTACCAAGTAGCTTTGGTTTATTGCACTGTCATAATTTCACCTGTACAGAACAGGATTGCTTTAGACAAAAAAGGTAAGCATATATCCCATAAAACAATAAAATACAGCTAGTGCTGTTGTTACGTGGAATGAGGTGGTTGCATAAATTCCACATAAACCAGGAATTTATGCTAGGAACTCTTCAAAGTACTGTGGTTGGCCTGCCGAGAATCTGGAAATGTTAACACTAGAGCTAAGGAAGCTTGATTTTTATTTCTACCCCTACGCCTCCTTCTCTTTGTAAACATTTCTCTGGGTCCTGGCTTCAAATCCTTTGAGCTGTGGCAGGGTGCTGACAGACAGGATACCCATTCTGCAATGGAAGGCTTGCTCTGCAACTGGGAGAAGTTCACCAGTTTCCACTGCTGTCATGTTGTCCCAGCTCTAGGGCTGCCCACTCTCTGTTCCGGCAGGGGTCAAACTGCTCCTTCCAGAGGAAACCAAAGCTATCTTTTCTGCTCCTCTTCCCCAAACCATCGAGGACCCAGGTTGTAATGGTACGCAATTTTCTTAATGTAACGTGGTAAATGTGTATAAAACAAACCAAGGGACATTGACTCATTCTCTTCTTAAAGGCAACTTTCCTCTTAAATGGTATCTTTTTGTCTCCTAGCGAAGAGGCACTGCAAAGATCCTGTGTCTCCCCTCTGAGGTCAAAGGGACTGTTAGCATCCCTTGCACAGGAGAGAGAAGCTCTGTAAACTTAGCTTCATCATTTACCCACGTGTAGGATCCACCACGCAAATGGAATATTACTTTCAAGTCTATCTCATTTCCTCATTCAAACCAAAACCAATTTTCACAAGAATATGTAAAGACATTTCTGTTATTTGAGAGGTATTTTTCTGTAAAGTTTTGTTTCAGTACTACTTATTTCATCAAAAATTTATTTCTTAACTACTACAAATGTATTTTCTTTGTTTTTATCCTCAACTTGCTTGTATTCAGAAAGAGTCTCTCAAGGATCACCATTTCAAGGATGGGAGAACTTTTACTATGTAAAAATATATAATGCTCAGGAATATGCTACCTTTAAAATTTTTCTGTTCCATCTAAATCTCAGGGTGTCAGAGCAGCCCACAAAAGGCTTTTGGATGAAAATGATCAGCTTGAGTAAGAGTTGTCACCTCTTGTTATGGGCTTTTTGTTGTACTGTATGACTTTGTTTCTACAGATCTACTCATTCATAGTATGAATACTTCCCTCTCTAAGGGTTCTTCTTTTCCCTCCCATCTCTTCCAGGTTTTCAATTCTTTGCTTTCTTCAGTCAAATTTACCTTTCTTCTTTCAACTTGAGACCTCTGTTCCCGAAGTCGTCTTCTCCTCTCTATTTCTCCCTGACAATCCCAACGCATTCCACAGCCTTTTTCTCTTTGTGGGAAAAGACAGCAAGTGGTAGCTGGGAGTTTCTAGAAGACTTTTCCCAGGCAATCCCTTCAATGAGGAAGTAGAGGAAAGCTAGGAAGCAACTGATGAGGCTAAATCACAAGCTCACAAACGGAAGCACAGAGAAGGTGGATCAGGTTTCCATGGGGTGAGTACAGAAGTATCACCTAGCAAGAGCAGACGGGGACAAACACAAAAAAGCCAGTACGACAGATAAGACTTAACTAGCAAGAGCATCTCAAGTAACAAGAAGTCATTCAGCAAGTACGTCAGTGGTAAGAGGAAGCCAAAAGCAAGTGGATTACTTATCAGAGAGAGAAAGCCATTGACTGATGCTGAGAAGTCTCAGAGTGGCTCAGGCCTTTTTTGCATCTGGCTTGGCTGAAAGAGATCACTTATAATCGGGTGATTGACATAATACATGTGAATGACAAGGGAATAAGGTTTCAGCCTGGATTGGGACAGAATCAGTTGCAGGTGTACTTGAATAACTTAGAAGTGTTCAAACCAACTGGCTGGCTGGACTTCATACCGACATACAGAAGGAAGTGGCTCAAACAGCATTGGAAACGTCAGAGAAGGAGGCCAAGGACCCTGCAGACAGAAAAAGACAAAACTGGTCCCTATCTTTAAAAAAGGCATTTAAAAAGAAAGAAAGAAACCGTCCAGGCAGCCATTTTTTCCCCCTAAAAGCACCTAGAAATAGGCTTGGCTTTTTAGCCTGAAATAGACACATTATTTTTAAACAGATAGAAGGAAACAATGAGATAAGCAACTATTGACATGGACTTGTCAGCAGGAGGTTGGGATAAGCTTGGGCAAATTTCCTTTGGCAATAGAAGAATGGGCTTTTTACGGGAAAAAGGAGCAAGGGCCCCCAGTCATCTGTGCTTTGAGTAGGCTCTGCACATTCATTGATGAATAAGGGAGTTCAATTTATGTGAAAAATGTGGGCATTTGATACAAAACTGGGGAAAGCGCAATTGTCAGTGGTTTATGGGCAAACAGGCTTAGAGATTCAGTTCCAAAAGGGTCTGTCCTGGATGTTTCATTAGCAGCCTTCCGAGATGGCATTAATTGGGGAGCAACTGCAAGTACACTGGAAGATGAAATTAGAATTCAAAATATTCCTAAAAAATTGTTTGGAAAACACAGAATGTGACTGAGAAGAGAGGAGTTGTTCTTGCAGGCAAGGTTTACTCCCTGTACACGCAAAGGCGGAGGCACAGCAGGCAGCAGCTGATGGGAAACCAGAGAGCTAGGGCAATCCCTAGCCAAGAAGACAGCAGAAGAGGATAAATTACAGCTGCTTGTCATATTGAAAACATGGCACAGGGACATGGTAACAGTTATCAGATGTAAAAGGGTGCTGCAGCACAGGAAGGGAAAGAGAAGGCAGGGAGCACCAGGTTCTCCTTTCACTCTGGAGTATTTAGATCAGATGGGAGGGCAACAGAGCTGGTGAAGGGCCTAGAGCACAAGTCTTACAAGGAACAGTTGAGGGAACTGGGGTTGTTTAGTCTGGAAAAGAGAAGGCTCAGGGGGGACCTTATCACTCTCTATAGCTATCTGAAAGGCAGATCGAGTGAGGAAGAGGCTGGTTGCTTTCCCTTAGTAACCAGTGATAGAACAAGAGGTAACAGCCTCAAGCTGTGACAGGGGTGATTAGACTGGGTATCAGGGAAAATTTCTTCACCAAAAGGGTGATCAGGCATTGGAACAGGCTGTCTAGGGAAGTGGTGGAGTCAGTGTCCCTGGAAGTGTTTAAAAACCATTTAGATGAGGCCCTGTGACATGGTTTAGTGGTAGTCTTGGCAGTCCTGGGGTAACAGTTGGACCTGATCTTAAATGTTTTTTCCAGCCTGGTTGATTCCATAAACCTCTGGGGAAGCTGTTGGACTTCTCTGGTGTTGGGCATCACTCTGAGCAGTGCTGAGGGAAAGCCCTACAAAAGGGATCCAGATCCACCAGTAGATTGGAAACCTTTTTGGTGTCCTGTGTAAGAAAAGGAGCTAAAGGGAAGAAGATGTACAGTACTCTCTCGCAGAGACTGGCTCAAGCAAATGAAAATCCACCAGCAACTTGCTCTTCCATTTATACTCAGTAATGATGCCAGTCCTCTTCTAATGCATGCAAGTATCTTCTGCTCACTAGCCATGTTGATATGCAGAAGCATATATTGATCTCTTGTCTCTCATTCCCTTCTCACAAAGGAAAAACGTAACTGCTCGGTTCAGTAATGCACGGGCTATACTTCATGACGAAAACAGTTGGAGACATTTACACACTGAAGAAAATTTAGCTTAATGTAAAAATAACCTTCACAAATTTGAAATGTCTGTTTCACAATCAACACAAGGTGCTGATATGATTTAATTCTTTTAAGTGGGTACTAATTTCACAGGCTAACTGAAGCCACACAGGTACATCTTGCATCGCTCCAGCTCTCATAAACGCTCCCTTCAACTGCAGGTTCTTCCCCGTAGGTCTGTCCATTCTCCGGCCTCCCCTCCTCAGTCCCCACTGGCTGTTCCCGCCGCGGTGCCTCCAGCTCCGCCAGCTGTAGCTGCGCTGCATTATTAAAGCCATACCGCTAAATAATTGATATGGAAATAAGAGCGCGCTGCAGATCCAGCGCACCTCCCCACATCCCCCTACCCGCCCCAGTACCTACCCCGGCCCGCCGGCCGACCGCGGCCACGGGGAGGCGCGGAGCCCTGCCCCGCACCTCCCTCCCTTCCCTTCCCTCCCCGCCCCGCGGCGCCGTCCCGCCCCCGGCCGCGGCGGGTCCCTGGAGGGGGCCGGGCCGGGCCGGCTGCGCTGTGCGGCGCGGCGGGAGCAGGTGCGGCCGCCCGGCACCGAGGGGCGGAGCGGGGGGCGGTGGCTGCGGGGCCGAACCGGGCCGGCAGGTGGGGGCTGCGGGGAGGCGGAGGGAGAGGGCTCGGGCGGGCTGTCCGCTTCTAGAGGTGCGGCCGGCGGCACGGCGTGGCGCGGGTCGGATCGGCGAGTGAGCGGGCTGCCGCGGGAGGCGCACGGCGGTGTCGGTCCCCGCAGCCCGGGCCGCGGAGAGGCCGGCGGGGCCCCTTGCTGCGGAGACAGATGTGCGGGACGCGGGGCTGCGAGGGGCCGGCGGGGGGGTGCTGGGGGCTGCCGCCGCCGCTGCTGCCGCGGCCGGAGGGGGACCCTTAGCTGTGCGGGAAGCGGGGAAGCCGCGTCGGGAGCTGTTATTTTCCTCTCCTCCTTCCTTTGCCTTCCCTCTGCTCCCTCCTCCTCCTCACCAAAACCGGGAGAGGAGGCGTGTTCGTAGAGCCTTGCTGCACCGGTTTTGCTTGGTTTGTTGTTGCAGGCTTTGGTTAGCAGGGTGGTGGTGGTGGCTTTTCTTTCTCCTTTTCTCCCTCCACTCCTTCTCCCTCCCTCTCCTTTGGCCCATTGCATGCTCGGATCCGGCTGGATCCTTCCTTTTATTTTCAGTGGTGCCACTCGGAGGGGGGAAGGGAGAGCTGGGATGAGTGCAGCTTGACGCACAGGCAAGGGGAGGGGGGGCACCGCTGGCAGCTGCAGCGGTTCGTGGCCGCAGGGTGCGGGTGAGGAAAGGGAGCGAGCGAGGGGCTCGGTGCCTCCCCCTTTCTTCGCCCCTCTCCTTCCTCCCCTCTTTTCCTTCCCTTCCCCCTCCGCCCCTTCATCCGTCTCCGGCCGGGTCCGGCTAGGAGCTTGTGTGCAATATATTACGTTGTAAGGTGTGTGTGTGTGTGTGTGTGTGTGTGTGCGTGGAGGAGAGGGAGGGAAGAAAGGAAGGAAGGACTCGCGAGGGAGCCGGGGTTGCCCCAGCTCCCCCCTATGTGAGCCCCCCCGGGCGGCTGGATGGCGATAGACCGGCGCCGCGAGGCGGGCGGCGGGGGCCGGCCGCTGCCGGAGGAGAACGGTTCGGTGCCGGGAGCCGGAGGAGGGGGCGCCGCCGCTCCCCCGGGGCCGCCCGCCGCGGGCTCCGCCGGGGCCGAGATCCAGGCGGTACCGGTGCCATCGCCGCCCGCCGCCGCCTGCAGCCCGCTGCTCCTCGACTACGATGGCTCCGTGCTTCCCTTCCTCGGGGGGCTGGGCGGCAGGTACCAGCGGGCCCTGGTGCTGCTCACCTGGGTCCCAGCACTCTTCATCGGCTTCAGCAAGTTCTCGGACTCCTTCCTCCTGGACCAGCCCGACTTCTGGTGCCGGGAGGCGGACGGGCAGGGCAACTGGAGCGTGTCCTTGGCGCCGAGCCACGCCAACCGCAGCGATAACGGCAGCATCTTCCCGCCGCCCGGGCTGCCCACCCCGGCGGGGGGCAACGCCAGCGAGTGCGACTGCCACGAGTGGCACTACCGCATTAGAGCCGGCCTCGTCCAGAACGTCGTGAGCAAGGTGAGAAAGGCGGCTTCCCTCAGGCCCCCCACTCTGTTATGCCCTCACGGACCCCCTCTGCCCTACCCTGGCCCCACTCGGCACCCCGCTCATCCCAAGATGAAGGAAGCAGCTGGACACAATTCGGATCTGTTCGTGCTGCCGCCGAGTAGGTCAGGTGCCCTGTGGGTTATCCTTCCACTGGGAGTAAATCTCACGTCCCTGCAGTCGTTTCCTTCCTTCACTCCAGGTGTCTATCCTCGTGGGTTTGTTACCCGGGCACTGGTTGCGGCACTGAGCTGGAAGTTCTGATTTGGGCTTCTTGGTGGCTCTTTGGGATCCCAGCAATGGCAGCTGTCCTGTCCTGGGCATGGGTGTCTGTGAGAAAGGCTCTGTGAGCCGCAGTGGGGGGAAAGAGCTGTGGAGAAGGCTCTGCTGGTGATATCCCTCATCTTTGTGCAAGTGTACTAATGCAGGCGTACAAGCCAAAAACCAGGTTGAATCTTAGGGAAGCTATGAGACGATCACTGTTGGGAGGAAAATGAGACAAAGTTCTACTGAATTCTCTTTGTTTACTTTTTCTCTTCATAACTGTTTCAGTAGAACAATAAAGGAAGGAATATCTCGCACAAGTTGTTGTACTCCAGAGGCAGAAGCGCATGCTGCTCTGTTTTGTGTTGCCTAACATTAATAGCTAAGGTGGAAAAATTCTAGTGAGCAGGGTTGCGCTGCTTTCTGCTCTTACTTCATATTTGCTGAGTAGTGCATGCAAAAAGAAAAAAGCCTTTTCACCTGAGAGCTTTGGTTTGTGTATGGTAGCAGTGCTGTGAAAGCCTTGCTGCCTGTGGATGGGCCTCTTTGGTATGAACAGGCAGCTGGAGCTCCTGGAAGTCTAAAATGAAACTGTTACACCAGGATAGTTCCTTTAATCTCAAGACCCCCTCCTAAGATCAGCAAAAATTACTTCCTGCCTGGGGGCAGTGTTTTGTATTAACCGTGTTTATCTATGTGGGAGAAAGAAACACAGTGATAATCAGATGACTGGCATGATTGTGCTTTGGGTAACTGGCACACATTTGCATTTAATTGTTGAAAATCATTTTGGTTTCTCTTTGTGTCCCTTGAAAGCACGGGCAACGGGAGGAAAGCAGGTAAAGCAAATCCCTCAAAACCTTAAATCCGGAATGGATTTAACCCAGCTATGCTCCTTTCTTGAGAAAAACACAGGCAAAGGGTGGACTTGAGTGGTTTGTGATATAGAAGTGTATAATAGAATTTGACATTTAAGAGAGATAGATTTTTTTTCTGTTTATAACCAGAGACAGAGCTATTCAAATATTTTAGGGTTTAACACTGAAGCTTAAGTGTGGGGAAAAAAATAAATAAATCTTGAAATGTTTCTTTTTAGTGTAAACTGCAAAAAATAATCTTTTTAAATGGTGGAGTCTTTTGAAGGTCGTTGTCAAGTTGGCCACAAAAGGTCAAGGGAGAGTTAAGTTTGCCATCGTGCATACTTCTTTAAGAATAATAAAAAAAGTGTTCTTTGGAAGAACTTGTGGTAAAGGGCAGATCAATTTTAAGGGGTAAATAAACATCTGTGGTCCCTGCTGTCTTGTTTTCTATTAGAAAGAATAATACTCATCTTTTGAGACTATGGGTTTTTCCAATGTGGAGCTTTTATTTTTGTTGTAGGCTTGCTTCCAAAAACTTGGCATCTTTTTTGGCTTTGACTTGTAATCCCATCTAATTATAATTAGATTGTTTTCTTGGGGTCAGGATTCCGCCTTAGTTCGTGCTTTGGTTTTGTTTGGGGTGTTTTCTGAGTGGCTGTGCTGTCTCTTTGTATCCCAGTGAAGAAAAAAAGAGGAAAAACCCAGGCAGAATGTCGATGTAGCTTAATTTGGGATTACTTTCATATAAACCTTCAGGAGCTCTGATACTGTGGGAGCAATTCTTGTAACTGCTGACTCCTCTTACATGCATCTTCACTGTCCTTTGTGTGAAAGAGCTGCCCTGGATGAATTCAGAAGACTGGATGTTCAGATCTCTCTTAACTCCCCTCAAAAATACATTTGTTTCTGTAATGTATTATGCAATGTTCTCATCTTTCTAAAGAGAGTTTTATTAAATCTTGGTCTAATGTAGACTCATCTGTGTAGTAGCCAGGGGTTATATTGAAATATCATAAAGAGAGCCAAAAGTATATTAATAAAAAATGCACTTTTGTTTGGCCAGTAAATCCCGTTGTTCTCATCTTCAGCAGTCCAAATTAATCACTGGTGAACGCTCCATCGTTGCTTTGTCTGCAGAAATGATGAAACAATTGTGGTCATTTAGCACAAAGCACATTTCCTGCTCTGCGTTTTGTTGATGTACATGCACATGAGACTTCACTGTGCCCGGTTCCTCAGGGGCAGATAGCTGTCCTTTGACTGTGTTAAGTTTCACCATCTCTATAGCCTCTCTCTTAATGAAGACCCTCCATCGGATGTTTCTATGTCCAGGCTTTCTCAGTTCTCCCTTCCCTGGTGCCCATTTGCTCCCATCCTTTGTCCTGCTGGGATTGAAGGAATGAAGATCTTGCTTTTTCCAGCTCTGCTGTGTGTTTTGCTTAGCCCTGCTTGTCTTTAAGGCTTTGCTGGAGCCAGGGGTGGCCTTGCACCTTTCATGGAGAGTGGCATTGCCATGCTAGGTGCTGCCATTATCCTGACCTCCTTGGCTGAGTCACTGGGAACGGTGCTTTTTATAGTGCTGCCAGTCATTAGAACTGGAAATGGTAATAAAGGACGTACCGCTTATTATTTAACACTGTTGAAATACATATAGTGAAGAGGTCAGATGCATAATTTCACCACAGGAATTCCAGTGGCCATATTAAATCACCCATCTAAGCTAATGTCCTGACTTGGTACATAAATCTTGGACTTTAACTTGGTTTGTACATAAATATCTTCTTTTAGGACAATTCACTTGTAAGGCAGGCTTTTTCACAGCTAAATGCTTCTTTGAGGATTTTCATCTGTTCTTTATCACAACATCTCCGTTATCACACTGCTCTGAATAGTTCATGTGTATTGTTTGAGAGAGATGTAGCCTGAACTAGCTTTTAGGCAAAAGGCTAATAAAAAGACCAACCCTGTCTTAAATAGTCCATGTATCTTGCCACTGTCCAAAGAAAGGATGCTGAGAAATACTGTCCCTTTTTTTGCCTTGGGGGAAACCCTGAGGTCCCACTTTACCCATTGGCAAAGTGATGCTTCAAGTTATTAGTGTTCACGCAATACTCAACAAAATGACAACATACGTAGCCAGGAAGCCTAGTGGGAAGCTGGAGTGTGTACTTAGCAGGGACTTTTCTAACTCTCTCATTAACTTATTTAGTGCCTGGCTCTTCTGCCCGTATGCAAAGCCAGCTGTAATCTTGGGGCAAAGTTTTCATGGAAGCTCTTGGTTACGGTATTGATGGTTGCTGGTTTTTTTCCTTCTGTTACTAGGATGACCTGTCCATTGTGTTCGATTGCATTATGGGGGGGGAGTGGTTTGTTGTTCTGGATGCTGATTTGTATAAGGGACCCCAAAAGCTGACGATGGGCAAAGACTGAAGCTTGATTAAATTGCAGAGGTTGATGGCACAGCATCCCTCTGTGGGCACCTGCAGCGTTCCAGATAGTTCTACCTCTTGGGGGTGGTGTAGAGGGAAGTGATTAGTTGAAGGCTGCGTTTTAATCACCCAGAGCAATTATGTAATAATATTTCATGTCTAGTCACAAGGGAATTCCTGTTGTGGCTGCTTTTCTACTCCAGATGCCTTGTTTTGCTGCAGTGCTGTTCTCTTGGCTCTCAACTTCCCACTTGATTTGGGTTGAGTCATCTTCTTTCCCAAGTAACATGCCATCGTTTTACCTATTTGCCACTGGTTTGATCATTCTGGTGCCAGTTTGGCTTAGCCTGTAGCAGATTGTACCTGCAAAAAAGTGGAGCTTAATTCAAGAGAGCCAAAAGGTCGAGGGGCAGTGCTGTCTTGGTGTGAACTTGGATTTATTTGGGCTGTGATGTGGTGTTTTTTGCTTCTGCAACAGGAGATATCTGTGCCCTGTCAGCCTTTCTTTCCCTTGCTTTTATGGCAGTTCTGGCACCTTCTGGGTATACCTCCACCTGCTTCAGCTCGCTGACCTGATACAACTCTTCTTTAAATACTTTTTAATTATTTTGTTTTGTTTTCTTGTTTTTCTGCTGGGTTAATGAAGTGAAATGGCTCTGTGCCGTGGCACATGCCCAAGATTGTGGTGGTGTCTCATGGGCTTACTGCAGGTATCTGCAAGTAGCCAGAAATGGTGCAACAAACAAATCTGTGTGATGATAAATTTGGCACTGCTTTTGGGGTGATAGTTCTTGGTGCAGGGGATAGGCATGCATTTAAAGTGGACTTTCAGGATATAGATGTTAGTTAATTTGAAGGGATTACTCTGTCTTGGACTTAGCGCTTAAACAATGGCAGCTCTGACAAAGTTCTTCCCAAAATAAGAGCTGTGCCACCCTTACCTCCTATTTGTACCTGGCATCTCACTTGTTTCTGCATATCCTCCATTTGGCTGGTCTCTGCAAGGAGACTTCAGAAATGCTGATGCTTCCCTTTCTTACCTGCAACTGCCAGGATTTGTCTTGTCAGTCTTGGTTCCTGGCTTACTGGCTTCCGTCTAGTCCCAAATCAATGAAAACCTCCAGCTGTTGTACCCATTGCATCAGTTGGGTCAGAAACGGCAAAATTGGAGCTGATAATAGCCCATGCCTTTGCTTCTCTTGTACAGACTGAAGGAGATACATGGACCTGCAAGACAAATAACTTGCCATGGGCAAACAGACTATTCATAATTTCTTTGTGACAAGGCTTTGAAGCAACTCTGCTCCTAAAGGGTGGTGAAAGGGTCAAAGAGTCCCTGTGGTCAGAGGTATCTAGAGATACTGGCAGACCAGAGCAAACTTCTGTTGCTGCTTTTTTTTTTATGGCTTCCTCAGCAATG